GGTAGAGTGTATATCAAAGGACATTGAGGAATTAGGAGGAGAGTACGAGATAGTTATACTAGGAGATATGAATGCGCACAAAGAAGATATGGATGGGTATACCGACCCAACTGGTAAAATGATCATGGATATGTGTGAAAGGCATGATTTGATCATTTGTTACTGTACTGAGTAGTGTGAAGGGCAAATAACATGGAAGGTAGAAAGGCTGCACTCGATGATAGATTACGCACTGATATCACGTAGGTTTTATGACAGGCTCAGGGGAATGCACATAGATAAATGTGGCTCCAGAAGTCTGGGTAGTAATCACAAACGTATCAAGCTAAGTTTCGGAAGAGCAGTGAAAGTGGGAAGGAGACAAAATGAGCAACTACAGGAAAATTTTTATTCAAAAAGGCAAATAGAAATAGCTACTAAACAAATCGAGAAAGTAATCACTGAGGATAATAAAACAATGTGGACATACACGAATCTAATTAGACTGTTTGAGCTAGAGCTTGCTAAGGCACGTGACAAGTCATCCCGGAAAAGAAGACACAAACGCAAGAGTTGGTGAGATGAGGAAGTTAAGAGAGCCATAGCAAAACGCCAGGAAGCCTCTAGGGAACACAGACATGCTAAGCTGCGGGGTGGACCGACAGATGATGTTGAAAAAAAATAAAGGGAAATGTTTCTAAGCTGTAGAAGGGACGCATCGCTTCTGATCAATGAAAAGATTAGTAGGAAAGGGAGCTTAGTGGCTGGCAAAAGTACATAAAAAAGATATAAATGCAGCTGCGAAATTTCGGAACCATCTAAACTCCCTAAGAAATGAGACGAGCCTAGAGCAGAGCAGAGGTTTATAACTACAGCTCAAGGTGCTAGGCTAGAAGGGGATGAAGCTATTGAATATATAAGAACAAGGGTGACAGAAAAATTTCAAAGAAGTGCCTTATGCACCACTATAGACAAGGATGAATCAAGTGGCGCAATGGCTTCATTTTCCCAACGAGAGTGGGAAAGGGCTGAGAAAAGGGTTCCTAGTAGTACATCAACAGGCCCAGATGGCGTTCCAATTATGCTGATAAAGACATTGGGTCCGAAGTCTAAGCATACTTTAAGAGAGGCAGTGAGCAAAAACAATAATCGATGGTGAAGTCTGATGGACTGCAAAATGGGTTTCGGAAACACAGAAGGTTGGAAGACAATCTGTTCTCACTGATGCAGTGCATCGAAATAGCAGAAAAAGGACTCAGGCCCCCGTAGCTAGCATTTTTGGATATCAAGGGAGCGTACAATAGCGTGGTTCAAGAGGACTTGTGGGGAATACTGGACACACTAGGTGTGGAAGATGGAGTCACTAATATTTTAAAGGATATATATAAAGGTAACAAGGTAGTTATACAGTGAAAAAAAAAAAAACAGGTATCCAAGCCCGCAGAGGTAAAACCGGGGCTTAGGCACGGGTGTCCTCTGTCACCCTTGTTATTCATGATGTACCTACAAGGATTAGAGGCCAAATTAGAGGGAAGTAAACTTGGCTTCAACCTCTCTTTCGTCAAACAAGGAAAACTCATTGAACAGGCACTACCAGCATTGGTGTACGCAGATGATATAGTGCTAATGGCCGACAACAAGGAAGATTTGCAGAGACTGATGTACATCTGCGGTAATGAGGGAGATAGGTTAGATTTCAGATTCAGTAAGGAAAAATCAGCAGTCATAATTTTTAATGATAATGAAGGTAGTGAGCTTAGAATACAGGAGGTCACGCCAGAGATAACAGATAAATACAAATATCTGGGTGTATGGATAAGCAATGGGACCCAGTACCTAAGGGAACACGAAATATACGTGACGATTAAAGGTAACAGGAATGCAGCAGTGATGAAAAACAGGGCACTGTGGAATTACAATAGGTATGATGTTGTGAGAGAAATATAGAAAGGGGTCATGGTTCCCGGTCTGACGTTCGGCAATGTGGTCTTGTGCATGATATCAGAAGTCCAAGCATGATTAGAAATTAAGCAACGTGGAATCGGTAGGCTTGCCTTAAGAGCTAACGGAAATACACCAAATCAGGGAGTACAATGTAATATGGGATGGACAACATTTGAGGGCAGAGAAGCTAGCAGCAAGATAAAACCTGAAAAGCGATTGAGATAAATAGGGGAGAAGTGTTGGGGTAGGAAGGTATTCAGCTACTTGTACATGAATGTCGATACAAAATGGAAGAAGCGAACCAGGAAATTGGCTGGTAAATATTCAGAAAACAGCAGGTGGCCAAACCAAAAAGAACTATCGGTTAAGAAGAAAGTGAAGGAAACGGAGACTAACATGTGGAGAATCGGCATGATTATGAAGTCCGCACAAGAGATCTATCGAACTTTCAAGCAGGAAATTGTCAAGAAAAGGATCTATGATAATACTCGGGGTAGTTCTCTACTGTTTGAGGCCAGGACGGGAGTGTTGTGAACCAAGACATATCGGGCATATACAAAGGGGTAGACACGGTATGCAGTGCATGCGGAGAGGAAGAGGAAACTGCCGAATACTTGATAATGTTCTGTAATGGGCTTCACCCTATAGTTCAGGATGATGGCGCAGAGTTTTTCAAAGCACTGGGGCTTAGGGACAGGGAGGGCAAAATAGAATTTAGGCGGGTAGAATTAACTAGAAGGAGGTTATCTGATTGGTGGCTAAAGCCAAAGGCACAAGTGAAAATTAAACCCTTCACTGCAAAGTACAAGTCCTTAACCTCACTATTTAAAGAAAAAAATTAAATCTAGTGTTTGGTTCACCAAGTATTACGGCTAGGTGGCGTTAGCCACCGCCCGATCTAAAGGGTACAGCCATATCAATCCATCCATCCATCCTTCGCAGCGCAGCCTGAACAGAGTCTGACGTCTTATGCTATGTAGTTTGATACAATAATTGTATGAAACCCTATGCGTCACGCAGACCGAAAGTCGCAGGCACTTTCTCGACTAACCACTGCATACTTGTGGCTAGCGTGCATATTTGAATGGCGCGTCAGAGATATTTGTGCGGTGTGTCACTTGGGGGCTCGGAAGGCCTGTAAAGGAGGAGGGACCGTTTCTTGGAATTTGTGGCGCGCCGGTGGCTCGTAGCGCTGCCAAGTGTAGAATCGTTAATCGCGACGGCATTCTGGATACGATGCGCGTGTTTACTTTAAATGTATAAAAAATATTGGAGGTGGTTTACGAGCTCTTCAAGTGTTTTACCATAGAGCCACGCCAGCGTTTGAGACTTTTTCGTCGTGTATGACAAGGAATCGCGTTAAAAGGTATCTTATCACGTGGTAGAAGAGTACAATTGCTTCAAGCGTCGCACCATGTGAAATGCGTAACAAAATTTTTCATCGTGATCCTCATATCAACAACAAAATCTGCAGCTACGTAGGTGCGCATGTTGCCTTAGGGATGTGAAGTGCATGTTGGCTTCGCTACTTCGCTAAATGGTGATGATTAAGGGCGTAGTAGGCATTTCGCAACTATACTTGCAGTAGGCGCCCTAAGAGAGCTTACAGTGGGCTCTATGAAAGCCGCTCCTCCAGCTTATACGCTGTGACTGTGCTGGACATTCTGTGCAGGCTTGGCGTTTTATTTTATTTTTCATTGTGGTAGCAGTTATAAGGACACTCTCAACGGATTTTTGCCGTCACCGTCATGTTCCATGTAAAGCCCAAATCAATAGCATCGCCCCGCGCATCGTATGTTATAAGTGTGGGTAGAACGTACTCGCGAGCAGGTGCGACGAATGCGGCTGAAGCAGACATGAAACGAGCTGGTCATTTCCGTCGCACGGAGGGTGCATGCTATGCCATCATCCCGCGTGCGAGGCATGAGAAAAGTGGGGTATGAAAAAAGTACGTGTACGTTTTTGTTCGTACACGAAGTATATGTGACTACAGGAAGGGTCGGAGCGGTAGCGATAGAGAAATATGCAGGCTGGAGTGATCAGGGCATTGAGTTCAATGACCCTGAGGGTATGTGTTTGGGAAAAGAGTGTGGTGGCGGTAGAGACTGCAATGAACGCCGGAGGGTTTCGCAATGACTTCCGTGTTTTCTCGTAGAACTGTGCCTTGTAGAGGACGAGTCGCTTGTCGCAACGTCGGCTCCAAGGCACACCCCCTGTTTACGAATTTTCATAGCATGGGTGAAAAAGGGAAGAGAGGTAAAGGAGGAGAAGGGAGATGAGAGTTGGACGTTGGAGACATTTGCAGGCGGTCGAACGCATAGGAGGTTCTTTGAAAGCTTAACCATGCCCATGTTCACCTGTATACCTTTCAATCATTTGGCATTTAATCGCTGAAATCTACCCTCAGCTCCGCTGTGCATCGGTTTTCATGGCTTTAGTTAAAACTGCGCATAAATAGTTACGCGAGATCGGATCCAAAAAGGGTTATCTGCTAGCCTTCCTTTGTAAAACATTACAATTGGTACCCTGTTAATCGCTTCGCAGTTCGCCCTTGCGGCAAAACAGATTCCCCCCCCCCCCCTTTTTTTTTCGTTCTAGCGTGCTTCAATCGCGACGAATTTTAATTTAGAATCATGAAGCTAAGCTTCGTGCCGCGACCATTGAGGATGAAAGCAGTGGGTGTTGCACAGAACATTTGTGCGTGTGACCTTGACTCTCGCTTGAAGTGATATGCTTTGCTCGAGATGAACGCTTTTCTATTCTAAATTTCGTCTTTTTTCACGCCGGGCGGCTGTTTTGCACTCTGCAGAATCGAGGCGCCACGTTTCTTCGTTGGCAGGGTCTGGATCTGGTTGTTACTAAGGCGCCCATTTTGTAGGATAACTCTGCTGTAACGTACTGCTGGTGGTGCCTATGTTCGCGTCCAGCCGAGTCGAACGAATAAACGAGACAAGATAGAGGGAAAAAAACGGGGGATGCACTTGAACGTGTAGCTTATCAGGGGCTAGACTGATACCAGCCGCAGGAAAGGGGAAGGAGTGGAGTGCGGTTCGCATTATGAAGATATATTTGTTGGAGAGACGGATAGCATTCGACGCTGCAGCCTTTATTTATTGCGCCAGGTGCCACCCTAGAAGGCGATTCACGTCCATGAGTTGCCTGACAAGGAATCGCCGACTTTTATCATATAATGCGCACTACCCAGTGAGAACGCCGACAATATCCCGTCGTGAGAATCGGTAAAATCCGTGCAGTGGGCGATGGGACCGATGAAGAACACTGGCAATGCATTGTGCCTGTGCCTCATGGTTTTGGGGTCAGCACAGTGCTCCTTTGAGGTCAGGCCGAATTTCGTCGTCATGGTGATGGATGACGTAAGTGACCATCTCTTTGTTCAACACACAAAAAAAAACGAAAGGAAATAATATTGTCGACGACATACATAATGAGACTATGGGAGCTACTGCTTTATACAGAAGTATCTGTAGCACAAACAATGTAAGCGAAACCCGAGAAATGAAGCCACTTGATTACAAAAGCCTGTTCTTAAAAACAGCAGAGGGAGCTTTGTGGCTTCGAAATGACTTGGTAGAATGAAATGTGCTTATATCTGGTATACTGCATTTATTGTACTCATGTTGCCACATGCAAGATGATACGTGCGACTCTGAATATCGACCCGTGGTCTTGCAAAAACTGTGGCTCTTGCTTGCGCTCTTGGCATCGCAAATATAAGCGTGAGAACAGACGGTCTGCGCGCACACACAAACAATCCACCATAGCCGGCTACTCGCCGTTGCGCCCCGCCGCGGTGGTCTAGCTAAGGTACTCGGCTGCAGACCCGCAGCTTGCGGGATCGAATCCCGGCTGCGGCGGCTGCATTTCCGATGGAGGCGGAAACGTTGTAGGCCCGTGTGCTCAGATTTGGGTGCACGTTAAAGAACCCCAGGTGGTCAAAATTTCCGGAGCCCTCCACTACGGCGTCTCTCATAATCATATGGTGGTTTTTGGACGTTAAACCCCACATATCAATCAATAAACTCGCCGTTGATTGATATGTGGGGTTTAACGTCCCAAAATCACCATATGATTATGAGAGACGCCGTAGTGGAGGGCTCCGGAAATTTCGACCACCTGGGTTTCTAAAGTAATTAATAAACAAATATCGTTATCATAAATTCATTCATCATCTTTACTAACCCAACTCGTTTTGCGCAGCATAATAACTTCATTCTGCCTAAAGCACGAACTAATTATGAAAAAAAGACAGTTCACTTTACGGCCATATCATTATGGAACACAGTGCCATTTCTAATAAAATTAAAAAACCACATAAACTTTGCCATGAATTAAAAAAAATTTGTTATGTGACACTCACTCTTCTGCTTAACCGGTTTCTCCCTCGCCATGTCATTCTCTTTTCAGTCTCTCGTTTTTTGATGTCATGCTATTTATATAGAAGTATATAAATATATTTTACAATTTATATTTCCGACTGCATTTAGTTAATGAGAGCATCGTCATTTATTTGTATCTGTTATTCATTTTTTTAAACCTTGTATTCTGTTAGTTTCGCACTGTTGTTGCTAACCAAATACTTGTGTTTACGTTTCATAGGAGGTCCCATTTCAGTGTACACTACGGGACCTCCTTTTGTATATTCTTTATTGTACATCTTATTATGAAATAATAAAACTTGATTTGATTTGATTTGATTTAACGTGCACCCAAATCTGAGCACACGGGCCTACAACATTTCCGCCTCCATCGGAAATGCAGCCGCCGCAGCCTGGATTCGTTCCCACGACCTGCGGGTTAGCAGCCGAGTACCTTAGCCACTAGACCACCGCGGTGGGGTTTAACTTTAATATTGCGGTGCGGAATGAGGCTTACCAATCTTAAAGCGTCGTGTTAGTGCGCAGGTAGCAACAGAATGCGAGAAATCGTGTGTCAAGCGGCACAAGCGTGGTCTATAGTTAAAGTTCACGTCAGTTGCGATGTGGACTTGTTGGTAGTTCATTTTCAGTTATATTCCTTGTGGCGCTCGTAAGCAACTGGAAGAAATGAGGACACATGCAGACAGACAGAGCGCTCTGTCTGCATGTGCCCTCATTTCTTCCAGTTGTTTATGTGCGCTACAAGGAAACTTACTATAGTTAGTGTGACCGAGTTTGTGAACGTTGGAGCGTCTGTAAAAACGCGCAGAATGAACAAGGACGAGGAAAAGAAACTTTTTCGCATGAGCAATGCTGCAATGAAATCACGCATGCAACACTTTTAGAAAAAAGGTGGTAGTACTTGCTAACTTTGGGGTATAGTAATGGTTTGTCACATATGTTACAACCCTGGTAGTAAGTGCAGCTAGTAACGGTGAGGATGGTAACAGTTACTACCTCTGCTGTTACTACCAGGAGTTAGTAACTGTTACTGCCCTAGCTGTTACCACCCATGGGTAGTAACTTTGATGGTTTCAAGAAAAAAAGTAGCAACCGATACTACCCAGTTCATTCAATTCATTTTGGCATATTATTTCTCCACTGCTAATGTTGGGTAATCAATGTCTTATAACTAGACAAA